GTTATTTACATAAATGTGAAAATGTTTGGAGTGCGTACTTTATTTTGTCCAGTACTGTATATATACATATATATAATCCCATTCCTTTTTCGATGCAAGCTTTTCTCAGCGATGGCATCGCGTGTAAGCTCATCGACGGCGATGCACGTTCGGCGATCAATGTATACGCTGATCGCGAACCCAACGACACGCGCTTATTCTCGCGCAGAAATAAGCTTACCCTGTTGAAAACAATTCTTGTAAGCTTTTTGTACCAGATCTTAAAAGAGTATGTGATCAATCAAGATTACTAAATGAACATATAAGAATCTTATATAATTTGTACATGAATCTCACCAGTAATCTTTAATGACCTAGGAATCTGAAATGAATCATACACGACGATTTATATCGCAATGAGAAGATCTTGCCTTAACCTTATAAGAAACTTTTAAAGAGTATTTTCTTTATAGGATCATCTAAGAATATGGTATTAATTATATATGATTCTGAAACGTTTCATGAAAGATTATGTGGTTATACCGAATAGGGGACCCCTACAGGGGGGAGGAGGGTGAGAGTCGTGCGCCCCTTTGCAGGGAGAGGGAGTGAGAGTCGAGGATGAAAGCCACCTAAAACCTGTTAGAGGTCTATCGTAACTTTGATAATGTATGTCACAGTCGCGACTTTCGAAGTCGTGACCTGATTGATCTCCAAGACTTCGAAAGTCGATTCGTGTGAAAGTCGTGCGCTCCTAAGCAGGGAGGAAGGTGGGGTGGGAGTCGCTTCGCGTGGAAAATTGTAAAATATATTTCAAAGCAGAAAATTTCTGTTTTATATAGTAGAAAAGAGACATCATTTTTTAAACTTCTTTCGTTAATAACTTTTTAATGAAGGACGAGCGACGACTAAAACCTGTTGGAGATTACTCAGGATAACGACCTTGGCAATATATATCAAAGTCAAGGTCATAGGAGGGGGTCTCCTATTCGGTATAATTACCTCGTACACGATGATTTATATCGCAATGAAAAGATATTGCCTTAATCTTATAAGAAACTCTTAAAAAATAATTTCTTTACGGGATCATCCAAGAATATGGTATTTAATTATGTATGATTCCTAAGTGTTACATGAAAGATTATGTGTCAGTCTTAAAAAACATATAGTTACGAAATAATTTATCTTTCAAGTTGGTGCAGGAATCTGGCATGAATCGTACACGACGATTTATATCACAATGAAAAGATTTTAATTACTTTAGCCTAATAAGATACTTTTAAGAAATAATTTCTTTACGTGATCTCTCCAAAATAATAAAGGTATCGATCATCCCAGTAAACGAAATGGAATTATTAAATGAACAGAAACTGTGGATTGAATACATGAAATGAAAAAGAATGAAGAAAAATTAAAAAATTTGTTAAAATACTGAAGATGACTGAACATATTACCACCGTCTTAATGAATTAATAAATTATAATTTCACTATAATAATTGACATAGGTTTTTATATTCCTTTCCCAAATTAAGTTTGATTTCGTCGAAAAGCCGTTATTCAATTTGTGTAAAAAGAATTAATTTTTAGCCAAAATAAATTTTTTTAAATCCCATTCAACTCCTTGCTTGTCTATTTTATTTACTGAGATACGAGCAATAAATCACAAAATTCCAATAGTATTCTTGTAATATTTTCATAATGACATTCCAGTTATATTCTTGCAAGATTCACGTAACCCGCGCGCAAGATTCATGTAACATGCTTATAAGATTCATGGGTGTAAGATTCATGCAAGGTTCTTGATTTACCTATAGGTATCGTATGCGATATATTCTTATACGATCTTGTATGTTCCTGTCCGAAATTCGTACGTGAAAATTTTCTTGGAAGATCACACAAGAATTTTTCTTGTAATAATTTGCAACAGGGTTATTATTATCTTAATCATAAAAATTGTTATTACCTTGTAAATGTTCAATGATTCCATTTTGCTCTAGCTTCTTGAAACAGACGAAGGAATAAGTTTGGATGCACCGCAATGTAATAAAAAACAATCTGATATTCAAAGAGTTCAATATCCATTGCAATTTCATCATTCTAATTTATAATTTAACGAAATTAGCATATTTAAAATATAGAAAGACATATTTAAAGTATAGAAAGAGATAGTGTGACAGAGGAGAAAGATGAGAACGAACATGTTTTTACAAACGTGTGAATGCGTCCGATCTGTATGCGCCCCGCTCGTAAAGCGTCTCGCGTCTAACCGTTAGCGCCGCTCCTGCCCGTCTCCTCTACGCGGCCTGTGATACGCTAACTATTTCTTCTTGTAATTTGAAAACTAAAGGCCGCAGCACAGAGTTTTGCATAACGTATAACGAATAACGCATAAGAGAATCAATCAATCTGAATCCTTCCTTTCCTTCCACTTCACGGAAAAGAAGAACTTTGATTGGTTGATGCTCTTATGCACTATGCGTTATGCGTTATGCAAAAGTCTATGTCACGGCCTTAAACTTCGGACAAAATTTTCATAAAAAAAAAATCTTAGAATTAGATCAGGAAACGTCTTTTCAGGGACACCTGGGCTGTTCTAGATCACCCTTATACTTATCAAAAATATGTTTCTGTATGCGAGACGCTTACCCAGGTGGCAGTGGAGGCAAGATTCGAAAATCTCTGCAGACTGATACGGGACTGCCAATCTCGGATAACTTATTAGTCGCATTCGGCGAGTCCGTAAGAGCTGATGAGGATGACGGAGAAGCGGAGGACGCGTCGCTGGTCCTCTCGAGACCATCGGAGGGTGGCCGGCCGAGCAGCAATGGCGTAGCGCTCCCTAAACCCAAGCATCGCATCCTCCACGCGTCCTGCAGCAATTGTAACCGAGCTTGCTTTCTCCACTTTGCCCGTCTGTTTTGAAACCATACCTGTGGAGAAACCGCTAACTTGATCATTGCCTTATATAAATTTTATTCTCTCCCTTTTCCGCAAGAAGAGAAAATGGCGAAGGACTGGGAACATAAATTATCGTTGCGTCTGAATAAAAACGATCTTGAACGTATACGTACGTACGTATCTTACGCTGTTTGTAGTTCGACTTTAAGATACGGATATTCAATTAATTCGAACTAATAATTCAGGTGCATAATAAAACAAATTTTAATTTTTCGAATATCAGCAGTTGTCAGAAAGGTTTGATTTTGTTTTATTTCTAAGTATTTAAAAAAAAATGTACGTACTTTCCGAAAGTGATTGAGAATTGAAATCTGTTTTCGATTTAAATAATATATTTTACATTAATTCCAACTCGTAATCATTTTATAATTCAATATCGCAATAAACAAATTGTGGAAATATTACACAATATGTTATTATAAATAATATAGCATCATGTATATACAATTATTTACTTAAAATTTTGTCACACTGAATGTATATTTCGTGTAATATTTCTACTACATCATAATTTAGAAATAATTGAAGAGATGGACGGAATAAAGACCTAATTATAAAATTTTGATTTAAAAAAAAAATTAAAATGACTTGCTACTTTTTTATTATACATAAGTGGGTACAGTATCAAATGAATTTATGTAATGTCTTTAAGAAGTTATATGTTACAATATTTCCCTATTACACAATCAATATTATATTAAAAAAAGCTAATCTCCGAAAAAAGGATCTAAATAGAATTGTGCTTTTATTCCGCTCATCCTCTCAATTATACATTTTTATGAACACATGTATAAATTAATTTGATATTCCCTTATGCAATTATATATTTTTGAATATACAGCTGAAACATTTTTCTTAATTCCTAAACAATTTCTTTCTATATTTAATTTTGCAAATATACCACTATGATTCACTGTTGTTGTTTTGCTAAAATATTTAAAATTACTTACGGAAACAGTTATCAATATTTTAAATATAAAAGATCAATGTATTTTTCCATCAATTTTTGTAAATAGGTTAACTCCGGTATATATACCGCACCTATCAAAAACTTAATTTATTAAGTATTATTTACTATGTTTAAAATAAACGAACTATATCAGTAAAAACTTTGTACTGTTTACTACTATGAAAAAAATATTAGAAATCCGAAATATATATTTATTTTTCATATTAAAAAATAAACTTTTTGAAACCCTTGCATTTTTTCCATATATCCCATAGGGGTGGGATATATGGCAAAAATGCAAGGGTTTCAAAACTCACAAGGGGAGAGGGGGTATGTACGGCTCATGAAAAATTTACAAATAATGCATATAAATAAGACGTAAAATGACACAATAACTTATAAAATGCGTTTATAAAGTTTTATTAAGGAATAAAAATGATAAATATATATATTGAAGAGAGAGTAATAAATAATACTTACACTCTTCCTACATATATTACAAGTGTTATGACAGGAGGTACATATTTCATTTAATGCGTTTATTGCATTTAGTGCACTGATTCAATCTGTGCACTTTATATGCTTTGGGCGTAAATCACGCCCGCTAACATGCCATATTCCAAACAGATGGGATATTTTACAAGACAACAAACTAAACAAAGAATACGAAAGTAAAGTACTTGTATTTTGCATAAAATATGCTTTACTATTCTTCTACACGTATGTAACACGAAATAACCACTAGGTCTTTACACGCCCTACAGTAATTATTTTATGTAGATTATAATTTATGATGGCGCTACTTATTACAGTGACAAATCGATTCAACTCACAATAATTTCATTAATATTAACAGTAAGAATTTAAATTATAACTCAATACTAATATAACATAAAGGCATGTAACAGAGTAAATTACTCTGCGAGAAAATTACTCCCACTCCTTCTATTTTTTCTGACTTCTGCGGCGTAAATTCCAGCGCGGCGTATTTGCCGGAGTTACCCTATATATAATATTTTGTATATAATATTATACGAGTATATAATAGGATTGGGTATTATGAGCACTGCAGATAATATGAGCACCCCTTATATTTCTGCAATGGTTGATACTAGTAGTGCCAATTACGGTAAAAAGATGCATTTGTCTTCGACATTCCAATATGTTGCGAAGTTTGAACTAAATTTATGTACTTCGGATATTTATCATTAAATAAGCAGGTACATACGTTATATTTTTATTTCTTTCGTTTTTTCCCCTAACCTCATAAGGTCCCCAATATGCATTGAGATAAAATATTTTGTTCTGTGTGTTATTATTTGTAAAGTAAACAATATTGTATATACTACCATTCTAACCTTACAAAATCCCAAGACCATTATTTATGATTTATTAGACATAGGAGTTTTTCAAATAGGTATGCATGGTCATTTGTTATGACTCATAATCCCGGGTGGAAATTACGACCTGGCGCTATATGGACCCCATTTAGTTTTCTACGAGTTAATGTAGGCGCTATATTAGAAGGCTAGCCTGGAACTATACTAGGTAATAATGACCAGTCCCACAAAAGGAAAAACTTTCTTGACTCTGGTTCGCGATGCGCTGTAGGTCCAATATTGGAAAATTGTCTAGATCCTGGTTCGCGAGATGGTGTCGCTGAAATTTGAGAAAACTGTCTAGGCCTTGATCACGAGGCAGTGTGTTGCCCCAAGATATTAAATCTATCTAGTCGCTATCTAGGAAGGGACAGGGTAATCTAGTTAGATTTAAAATAAATTTTAAACGCATAATGCGTCGTCTATAATTCACGGAGTAAGAAGTAAGAGTAAGAAATTGACCAATCACAGTCGATTGTGAGAAGAATACTGTCGTCTATATATCGACTGTGATTGGTCAATTTCTTATTCTCACTTCTTACTTCATATTATTGAATAACATGAGTTATATTAAAAAATGGTTATTATCACGGTAGAGAAGGGTATGCTCAATCAGTGGTAGACCACTGCGCATGTATCAAGCATATGTCACATTCGGTCAGCCTTCGGCTATATCCGGTTCGTGTCAATGGCTGCGTTCAGCAGAGAAAATTAATCAGTTGGCGTTTAGTGATTCTTTAATACGATTGGTTCTTGCCTTTAATTCTTCACTGGATCTAAGTGTAGGGACCAATTATATTGAAGAATCACTAAATTCACGCTAACTGATTAGTTTTCTTTAAAGTCACTAGATAGATAAAGTACCACAAACTTGCCTCCATCTTGACGCAAAACATGGTCATTTTCAAACTTGTGTATTTATATAAACGTAGTTTATTTGGGAAAATAAAGCCGTAAAATATGTAAGTCAATTTTTTAATTATAAATAGTTTGTTTATGAACCGAAAGAAATACTATACGAATGGTTAATTTGTGTATCTTTTAGTCAAATATAAAACAGCGTTCCGTAAAGAAATGATAAAGATCTCAATTTCAACAATTCTTGTCATAAACTCCACCTAACAGATACGGATTTTTGAATCTGTAAAAAAGAAGTAATTGTTATATAAAAATTATTAGGTTTTGTAAGTCGGTAAAATAAATGACTCTAGGATCCCCTTAACACACTCTGACGAGATTCGCAGATGAGGAGATTCGAAAGCATTAATCGAATTTACTCTCAGTGAATTACCTAGTTTCTCGCGCTTGGTCTCGTATTCGTTCAAATTCGCCCGGCCGTTTCATTAGCGTTCGTTTAATCGTTTTCACACAATGGTCTCTGCGCAATAGCCCCTATCGCAGCCAGATGTACGTAGAGCCTTTGTGATACGATCACGGATCGAGCCAGTTTTATTCGTATTTCTGATATCATTAATGAATCGAAACATCTGTGCTAACTTGACCCAACTAAAAGCCATTGCTCCGACTTCTGCACTTGAAATCGCAAGAAAATTAATTGCTCGAACAATCCGTATCGGTCACTGATTGATTGGATAATCTGTTCCCTACGAACTTTAAACAAAATTCTTCCCGAGCATGTATTTTTTGTGATTCATTTTACTAATTGAACAAAAAATTATTAATTAAAAGCAATCCAAATAGCAAGCTGACGTTATTTGTCGTTACTTTGATGTTAAAATATTTTGTTGTCAACTTGACATAATAGAGTTAGTTTGTGTTCTAAGAATAGAGACAAAGGATTATTTTTTCGTGAAAGAGATTCGAAACATATGATGTGTGTAACAAATTACAATTTTTTGTTTATCCGTCAATGAATAATTAAAATCAGTAAATGATACTATAATTAGACATACACGGGAAATTAATTTGCGCATATTATATATATAAAATAAGATAAATGAATTTTGATGAAAATTTGCTCATCTCTGATCTTCTTTCGTATAATTACACGGTAAATTGGAAGAAAATTTAATGATTAAATACTTCACGTTTCTGCGTATTTTAATTTGTTTCTATTGGTATTTTATTATAAATGATGACATTTTGCCGATGTCTGTATGATAATATATGAAATAATAGCGTGACAAATGAAAAATTAGGTACATCGCGATTACGAGCATTAGCGAGTTAATCCGAAACTCGGAAAGAGAGTGAATGAGAATAAACCGCGTGTATTTCCTGCAAACAGTGTATTTGAGCTTTAATTAGTGAACGGTTTTAAGGACTGAAGCAATCTATTGGAAGGCCGTATTTCGTAGACTTCGAGATTGTAAGTTTTCAATCTCTTATTGGGAAGATGAAGCTTTACTTTAGTTATTTTTCTGGATAAAAAGATTGTTTTTCTGTCAAGTAGAGAAAGTAAAAATGGTTTGATGTTCATCGCTTCTCGGCGCCATATTGGATCTCTCAAAACAGCACATTTCTTTCGAAAGTACATGCACATATGAATAATTTGAGACCTTGAACGCTGATTTTCATTGCGCTGATTTTTGGACACACAGGTGATCCGGTTGACATGGAACGTTCCTTATACACATATGCATATAATATTTATTAATTTATTAATATTTATTAATTACACTTAACCACACTTAACCTTCTATACACATAATCGTTAAACGCGCGATCTCTGCGATGACAGCCGCTCACGAAGTGAGTGCAGTGAATCAAAATCGACACGACATCCGCTCACGACACGAAGTTACGCACGCGATAAGATCGAGCTCTAGACAACCAATCCGCATCGCGGAAAAGAGGCAACAATGAATTCGACTATCAATGTAACCCAATTTTATTACAGGAGAAAATAAAGAAAAACAGAAAAGCCATTTGAAAAACTAAGTGAAATCAATGAAGCAACGAAATAATTGCAAAGAAGATTCACCTGAACACGTGCTTCCGAGAGCGATATCCGAAGTGCGACTTCCTCTCTGAGGAAAACATCGGGATAATGCGTTTTCTGGAAAAGAGATTCCAATTCTTGAAGCTGTTGAGGTGTGAACGTGGTCCGATTGCGTCTCTGCTTGAAAAAGTTCCATATCTGACTGTTACATATGTCACGAACTTCAAGATTTCGCTACATGTTTCATTAAATTATTTCACAATTTTAATCAAGAAATCATTTTTATGTTATTGTGCCTAGCATAAAGATGGCATACAATACCCTATTTTTATGCTATCGTATGTAGTGATATTATTAATGTACCTACAATATTCTAAGAAAAATCTAAAGATATTAAAATTAAGAAGTTATATAGGATAAGGTTGCCGAAATCATATCACTTTTCATTTAAAGGCTTGTAACTCAGAAATTATGAAAAAAATTTTTTTAAGCTTTTTTTTTACAGCATAACAAATTGCACCTTTTTTCCTTTTTTATGTAATTTTTTTATAATTTCTTTGCATTATTATAATGTTTTAAATAAGAATTTTTCCAGTATGATGAGATTTTGACAAAGAGGAAATCCGTTGCTTAAATCGCACCATACTGAAATTCCTTATTTAAATCATCATAATGGAAAAAAATTTTGATAATTATGCAAAATAGGGCCTTTTTCAAATTTCAATATTTTTCGGCTGCAATATTGATATCAATCTTTGTTATGATTCAAATAGTGATGAAAAATATATCTACACATGTACTTCTATTCGTATACTGACAATGAGTAATAATGTTAACATTCTAAAGTCATACGCTCCTAAGCAGGGGAGAGGGGGATGGGAGTAGCTTCGCGTGGAAGTTGTGCGCCTCTAAGCAGGGGGAGATAGGGCGGGAGTCGCTTCGCATGGAAGTCGTACGCCCCTAAGCAAGGGGGGGAGGTGGGGTAGGAGTCGCTTCGCGTGGAAGTCGTGCGCCCCTAAGCAGGGGGGAGGTGGGGTGGAAGTCGCTTCGCGCGGACAGTCGTGCGCCCCTATGCGCTACTAGGCATATGTAACATTTTGAAAGAAAAGTTTTGTTTCTTATTTTTCAACCTTCCTCGATTTATTATCACTTTTCAGTCATAACAAAGATTACTATAAACGTTCTAGCCGAAAAATGTCGAAATTCGGAAAAGGCCCTATTCTGCATAATTATCAAATTTTTAAATTACACAAGAAAAGGGAAAAATTATATTTTATAATGCTATTAAAAACTTCAGAATATATTTTTCATAATTTTTGAAACACATGATAATTTCAGCAAATAATTTGAATTTTTATGTGAAACAAAATAAACACTTCATTAGATTTATAATAGACATTTTTACATAATAATAAATAGAATAAAAATATAAAAAATATAAAAATATTTGGCAACGTGCAATTTAGGAGATTAGATTGTGGAACAATTTAGGATACTATTTCATGATTCGATTTAGGAAACTAGAGCATTTTCTAATCTTTATTAATTTTATCTGCAAACAAGAATGTAAAGTAAACTTCAATTCTATTAATTTAATTTTAATAGTATTCTAATCGTGAGAAATGATCAAGACTTAGGCTATTTAGCTTATATTTTTTGCAATTCTACAATAAAATACGTTGAAAAACAGCGGCTGATAAAAAATTTTTTATGTACGAATATATATAATTATACAAGGTATCCCGCGATACTTTTGCCAAACGCTTTTTGTAGATAGAGCAGACTAAACTAAATCGAAAAGTCCTCTACCATTTTATAATTTTTAAAATGGTTAACGAGATATTAATTACAAAAAATTGCTAAATATATATATATATTGTTCTTCAATAAGTTTTTACTTAAATACTATCAATTTTACAGAAAAACAGCAAGAGACAAAAATTTTATTTTCTTCTCATAGAGTTCTAAGAATTTTTTCAAAATTTTTGTTCAACTTTTTAGTACTGCATTTTCTTATTGGCAACTATTTTTACCAACATAAGAGAATACGGTATTAAAAAATTCTGAAAAAATCCTCAGAATTTTAGTTTAGTTATATCCTATTTCCTAACTAAAATGAGTGCCATTCGCTTGGAAAATTTGATATTTATTAAAAGAATGGGGTTAAAGTTTGCTATAACCGGTTCCGAAAATGGGTTTAAATGACATTTTTTTCATAAATTTTTTTACTTTATGGATTTTTTTATATACATATGAGTAATTGGAATACGTAAGTGGAATAGAAAGAAAAACTTGAGTCTCGATTCCAATGGTGGGTGTTGAACATTTTTTTATCTATTTCTCCTGAAGTTCGAATTACGTTTGGATATGGTATATAAATATATAAAGTTGTACGAATATACATACAAAAGTACATACTTTTTTTACTTATTATACGTTTTCAACAAATTAAAATTTGAAAAGTTAAAAATACTTTATTATAAGTTTTGCTATACTGGATAGGAAAATTATAAATACGATAAATTAGAACCCACCAATACAATCGAGACTCAAATTTTCCTTTCTATTCCACTTATGCAAGGGAGAGTTATCGAATTCGTACCACTCTTTATCTATTTTTTATTATATTTTCCATTTGGCACTGTTTTACGCAAATGAAGATTAGAAATTGTTCTGACTTCAGTCAAAGACCAAAGGTTGAAGTTTCGGGCGCTTATTATTGTATTTTTAACTTTTCGCCAATAACAAATTTGTTATAAGTCTTTTTGTAACATGCTGCAAAAGACACGATTTTTAAGCAATCAGTCGTCTAAATCATTCCTATAAGTCTTTTTTAAATCGTATTTTCTTTGAAAGTATTTAATTTAGGAATAAAAATAATTGAAAGTATGTATAAGATTAATAAAAGAAATCATTAACTAATACCAGGATTGTTAACGTTACATAAAAAAGTAACGAAGTTACTGGTTTCGTTACTTTTTTTCAGTAACAAATGAGTAACGTAGTTACTTTTCCTAGTAACAATAACGGTAACTAAGTCACAATTTTCAACGAGTAACGAGTAATGAAATTTTACGTTATTTTTCTCGTTATTCCCGTTTTGAACAACATTTTGAACAACAATTGTTATACAGGACCACAAAAAAAAAATTTTTGCAGAGCAACTCAAACCAGAGTAAGTGTTTCTTATAGATTTTAGGTCGTTGAATTCGAATTCGTAAGCCGTTTTGCTCCATCACGTCCAGTTTTTTAGTTAATTGAGAAAAATGAAGAAAAATCTGTGAAAATTAAAACATTAAGCAAAGAGTAAAACTAAATATTGATAAAACTAAATATTGATAAATGATATTACTTTTTTAAATCAAATATAAAAAATTATTTGATTTAAAGAAATTATGTTCAAATCAAAGAAATTACGTTCAAAAAATGCTCTTCAAAAAATTTTTTTTGTGGTCCTGTGTTATCAAAGAAAAATTTAAGATTCAGGGAAATAAATCCATCATAATTTAAAGTTAAAAAATATTCTGCTATTTCTAATGTAAATTGATGTGTATCAAAAGTATCAAAACCTAATAAAGAACTCATAAAATAAAAAATAAAATAAAGCTAATAAAATATAAAATAAAACATAACTATAAATTAAAAAACGATTTATTTTCTTACGTAGCTATATTTATATAAATATAATTATTTTTTGGAAAGTAACGAAAAAAGTAACGGTTTTTTTCGTTACTTTTAAGTAACGATAACGCGTTCCTTTTATAATCAGTAACGAGTAACGAGTAACGTATTACTTTTTACCGCAAGTAACGGTAACTGTAACGCATTAAAAACGTTAACAACCCTGACTAATATCTATTAATTAAATACCTAATTTTAATAATTTATTGAAGAAAATCAAGTGTATTCTAATTATTATATAACAATGAAAATACAAATGATGTCAAAATAAAGTTGGCTCAAATATATTTTTGCACATGATATTTATTTATATTGATATCAATTATTAGTTTTTTTATTATCAATTATTATCAGTCTTATCTTGTGACGGCACGATTTAGGAAACTTGATGGAATTTGTAAAAGTATCGATTTAATCTTTATAATGGTTGCAAATACAATGTAGATCCTATATATAGTAAATGTAAAATATTCTACAATAAATCTTCTTTTATAAAGACATAAAAATTTATAATAAAATTGGATGATCGCGTTGTTATCTCAGCTACATAAATTGATTAAAAATTAATAATAGATATACCTGATTTTTTAAAACGCCGCTAATAAAACACCATCCATAGAACAAGACATATTTTTGTCTTTATTACTCATTTCTCATTTATTTTATATTATTGTTACTAAATGTTGCCTATATTAAGTAATAATGTAATATAAAATATTGATGAAATACGATTTAGGCGACCAGTATGCATTCGGCAACTCTCCTTTATATTACACATATATGTAGAAAAACCTAAAAAGTAAAAAAATTACAAAAATGTCATTTTAATCCATTTTCCGCTTATAGTGGACGTTGACTAACAAATATCAAATTTTCCGAGTGAATGACACTCATTTTAGGAAGTAAGATGCTATATAACTTCTAATTGTTACTTTTTCAAAACTAAGACATCTGGGCAATTTTCCTTGTAAGACAAACAATGCGAAAATTATCTTTTTAATTATTTTTGATGTTTTCTCATACACATTATTATTGTTTTTGATATACTAAACAATATAATTTTACAATAGTATAAAATTTGAAATATGTAAAATTGATTACCGCTCGTATAATATGCACAATAAATAAATTGTATCTATATAGAAGTCACTAACAATTAGTCATCCTCAACTGTAAATTAACAACCCCAAAAAAATTATTTAAGAAACTACATGAAAAATAGTGATCGAATAAAACGAGTTATAAGGATCATCTCACCTTCATTTACAAAGGTTGAAAAACAATTTAATCATATTACACGTCATATTAATAAAAAAGAATAATAGTGTACAAATCAAAACAAATTCTTCGGTTGACGGCGAGAAAGGGTAGAGTCCATATAAATTAAAATAAAGAGAAAACACATTTCAGTCTATAGTAAAGATTGTAGAGAAAGCGGTTTTTGTATAATTTTTATCAAACGGTTGTGTATAAAAGAAGGTATGATCTAAAAATCT